ACGGTGCTGGAGGGGGTGGAGGGGGCGAAGCTCCTGGAGCCACCGGCTGCTCCTGGCCCGGGGTAGCGCTGAGACTGCTGTAGCTATAAGGCGACGCTGGGTAATGGGGTGGCTGTGCGGGGTAAAGCGTCTCGGCAGGAGGCGATGGCGGCGGCGGCGGCGGCGGAGGAGGAGGAGGAGGAGGGTATCCCGGTTCTCTGCTCGGCCGCTGGTAGTACTCAGGGAGAGGTTGTCCCGGGTGAGCCTGGTGGTGGTGGTGCTGCTGCTGGCGCAGGTGCTGCTGCTGCTGCTGTGGGTGATGGTGGTGATGATGATGGTGGTGGTGGGGGTGATGCTGGTGGTAGGAGCTCCCTCCGCCGCTGCCGCCAAGCTGCGAATATTCCTCGCAAGGAGGGAATTTGGGCTCGATGTAGTTGGAGTTTATCAAAAAGGAACTCATGGTCATTAATTTGTGAAGTGCAAAAATACTAATTTTTCTCGCGTTGTCGTTTTTCTGGGCTCGAGGAGGCCCCTCCTCTCCTCCTCCTCCCTCTCCTCCTTCCTTCCTTCCCTCCCTCCCTCCTTCCCCCTCCTTCCTTTCCTCCCCTCTCCCCCCCCCGGCTGCTGTTGTCAAGCGCTTGCTTCCAAACTTTGGGCCTCCGCTGCTCCCTCCCTCTACAATATCCACCCCAAGCGCTCCCAGCACACGCGCGGGCGCGCACACACACACGCACACGGACACGCACTCACCAGTGCCACCCCCACCACCTGACCAGCAGGGCCAATTGCTACGCGTTTGGCAGAGCCCGGATCAGGAAATGGAAAGCTGGAGGAGAAGCCCAGGACAGCCCTCTGCCTGTGTTCGTTCCCCTTGTAGGGAGCAAGAGGTCCCGGCAGGCGAAGGGGACGCGGGGTTTCATCCCCACGGCCGCCAAAACCATCGTGGGGGCCCATGGCCGGCAAAGGACAACCGGCACGGGCCGGAGGCGAGAGCAAGGGACAGGGTGGAAGGGAAGAGGACAAGGGGGCGCGGGCGCGGCTTCAGGGTTCACACGGCAGCCCATGGCCGGCAAAGGACAACCGGCACGGGCCGGAGGCGAGAGCAAGGGACAGGGTGGAAGGGAAGAGGACAAGGGGGACAGCAAAGATGTGCCCTGTTGTGCGGTGCTGTCTCTTGGAGGTGCTTGCCCCACCATCACTGCAAGTGTAAACAGCAAGGGATCCCTGTATGACTTCAACATATTTGTAACATGAAGATTCCCCTCAGACTAAACATAAAGATTAGTTTAATACCCTGTTAAAATTTATCTTCTATTTATATTCGGAATGATTAAGGGGGTGGGGGAATTAAGAGGCGGACAGTCTTCCAAGTCCAATATTATTACAAACCCTGTATGAACATTTCCGGTCCTTGGCAACGATCGTTACAAGGGAACCGAGCCTGGTCTTTATTCCGGATGAATAGATCCTGAGTAAAGTGTTGTGCTTTTGTGTGCGCGCCTTTAAAAAAACAAAGAAACATCTCATTATCAGACTGATATCTCAAGAATTATGCTTCCAGAAAGTTGAACAATATGGGCAAGAATATTGAAAACTGATACATATATTTGCCTAAAACCTGGCAAAATGCTAAGTCAGAAAGAAAATCCTCTGCGTTTTCTTCTTTTCCTTTATCGTCCTTTTGGAACGACTACCCAGTTAATTAAAAACCCAAGGGTTTTTCTGACACATAAAGACCATCCCACGTTTTTCAATGAATTTCGAGCTATTAATGAATGATAGAAGGGTCGTAGTGCAATCAATGAGATCATTTGGTCGCATGAAATACAGGCCAACGAATTTCAACTAGCTATTTTAAAACCTTGACATATCCCCTAAGGTTTAAAATGTTACTCTGTCATTGCCT